TAAGTCCCCATAACTTCTGACTACAAAACCCAACAAGGATTGAGTTGGTGGGAGAAACTTCTGGAGTCGCAAGCAGTTCCCCTTAAAGAACCCACACACAGACTTACTCAGACTCACTCCCTCTGAGCTCCAGCAATGGGGCTGCAGTTTGAAAGACACCAGTGACATACAGAGAGGAACCAAAATCTTTGGCATTAAGGTGAGAGATGGGAGACAGCTTTCTCCCAGACAGAAAAGCAGGAAAAGGCCACTGTCTCTTTGCTGAGCCCTCTCCATACAGAACTAGAGGGCTGGAAGGTGGTGCCATATCTGAGACTCCATCAACCTGGCTAGCACTGTTTAGTGCAAACATTGCTAGCCCTGGCGATCCCTTGAGACTCCTTCCCACCCAACTTACATGCTCACCAAAACTGTTAACTGTAACTTTTGCATATGAATGGCTGGTCTTAGCTAATACAACACAATTTCCTAAATTCTTTCAAACAAGCAACAGGGGCTTCAGTAAGCCCCCAGACCCTGTACCATGTACTAATTGGCCCCAGGCCTGGCACTAGCAGCAGCCAGCCTAGGTTCACAGCTTGGCTTCACCTGGGAATCTTTAAGCCCAGCACAAGTAGCAGCCACCTCAGATTGCTTTATAGCTCAGGCAGGGTGCCCCTGGACAAAACACAGGTTGGGGCTGACTTTGGCTGCACCACCTGAGACACCCCAAAGCCTGCACACCCAGTGGACAGCTACAGATCACAGTGGAGTAGCACCACCCCGCCCCTGCACAGCTAATCCTCCACGGAGGGCGGAAGCTGGTGGTCAGTAGTCACAGCCAGTCCTTGCAGCTGACTGTCCTGGGTATATCCCTCCCATCGACCTGCCAACAGCAATGAAAGCTCAACTACAAGAGGAGGGTATACTCAGTCCATATGAAGGGCTCACCTCAAGTACCCAGCTTCGTGATGTGGAGGCCATGCCACTGGACCCTACAGGACACCTACTACATTAAGCCATGCTACCAAGAAAAGGAGTCATAGCAGCTTAGCTTTGCCTGGGAATCTCCAAGCCTAATACTGAGAAACAAACACAGAGAGGCTTCCAAAATGAGGAGACAAAGAAACATGGCCCAAATGAAAGGACATAGCAAAAATCCAAAAGAACTAAACAAAATGGAGATAAGCAATCTGTCAGATGCAGAGTTCAAAACAATGGTTATAAGGATGTTGAAAGAACCTAGTGAGGACATCAACCACATAAAAAAGATCCAGTCAGAAATGAAAGACACACTAATTAAAATAAAGAACAATTTATAGGGGAACAACAGTAGAGTGGATGAAGCCGAGAATCAAATCAATGCTTTGGAACATAGGAAGCAAAAAACAACCAATCAGAACAAGAAGAAGAAAAAAGAATCCAAAAAAATTATGAGGATAGTGTAAGCAGCCTCTGGGACAATTTCAAGCATTCCAACATTCACATTATAGGGGTGCCAGAAGGAGAAAAGAAGAGCAAGAAATTGGAAATCTATTTGAAAATATAATGAAAGAAAGCTTCCCTAATTTGGTGAAGGAAATAGGCACGCAAGATGATGAAGCACAGAGTCCCAAACAAGATGGATGCAAAGAAGCCCACTCCAAGACACATTATAATTAAAAATGACAAAGGTTGAAGATAAAGAGAGAATCTTAAAAGCAGCAAGAGAAAAGGAGTCAGCTACCTACAGAGGAGTTCCTATAACACTGTCAGTTGACTTCTCAAAAGAAACTTTGCAGGCTAGAAGGGACTGGCAAGAAATAATCAAAGTCATGAAAAGCAGGGACCTACAGCCAAGATAGCTCTACCCAGCAAAGTTATCATTTAGAATCGAAGAACAGATAAAGACTTTCCCAGACAAGGAAAAACTAAAGGAGTCCATCATCACCAAACCATTCTTATATGAATGTTAAAGGGACTTATTTAAGAAAAAGAAGAATATCAAAACTATGAACAATAAAATGGCAATAAATACGTATCTATCAGCCACAGAATCTAAAAAAAACAAAGTACGCAAAAACAGAGACAGAATTATAGATACAAAGAGCATTTTTAAGGCTGCCAGATGGGAGTGAGGTGTAGGGGAATGGGTGAAGAGCTGAGGGGATTAAGGGGTACAAATAGGTAGTTACAGAATAGCAATGGGGATGTAAAGTACAGTATAGGAAATGGAGTAGTCAAAGAACTTATACACATGACCCATGGACATGAACAATGGGGTGCGGATTGTCTGAGAGAGTAGGGGGTGCTGGGAAGAAGGGGACTAAGGGTGAAAAATCAGAACAACTGTAATAGCATAATCAATAAAATGTAATTTTTAAAATAAAAATAAACAAGCTAGCTTTGGATGTAGAAAGAGGGGTAAATGAAGTTTAAAAATTTTAGGAAAAAGTTTCATAAAATAGTTTTAACATACATCTGAACATTTGCTTAAAATGCCTTTAAAAATTTTTTGGGCAAAACTATTTGTACCTGTTAATAAAATATGGAGTTCCTTAGCCCAGACTTTCCCTAAATCCAAAATTGGGAGGCACAAAAGTTTACACCTGGTCACAAAGGGGCCTGAGTAAGACAGTAAAAGTGAGTCTACAGAGTCCAACTTCATCACTACTGAAGCCAGGTCAGGGACCAATCCTGCTACCTGTCTGCAGTGCCCTCCTTTGTAGTATACCAGACATCCATGTGCCCACAGCTTCTAAAGGGACTGAAAACTATGGGAGCAAGAGCAGTTACCAAATAAACAATCAAAAATTAACAATTTTGGCTGCAAAATATGATTAGGCTTTTTGTAAAGATCCATTTTAGAAAATGTGGGAAAGAGTTTTGCTAGATTTTTCACTGAAACACTCTCTCGCTTTTCTTGAAAAACGCCTTTTTTGCAACTGGGGACAAGTGGTGCTGGTATGAAATGAATCAAAACAGAAAGAGTGCTAAACCAGTAATTCTCCCTGACCCCTGAGATAAAGTAAGCGCATTCTGTGGCGCTTATTTATACAGTACTCAAAACCAGGAATAAGAAGAAAAAATGGTACTGTGATACCAATACCATTTCTTCAGTGCACTTAGTAGACAGAAATCTGAAAGTTCCTATCAACCGCTGATGCTACTGTTATTACTAGTCCTTAAACCTTCATTAACTACACCTGTGAGATTAAAAATAATAATAAAACTGAGCTCCTCATTTCTTATTTCCTAACCCAAGCTGTTTAGGAACTTCTCACAAGAATTGTGAGGCCCAGACTAAAACTGAGATCACAAAACTTTACAAATACCCACGACATAGTACCTAAGCAGAGAAAAGATAACAGAATAGCATTTATTACACAAAACAGCTGTAAAGGTCCTATGGCAAAACTCAAGAGTTTGTGAACAAAACAATCAGAGTAAATTCTAGAAATAGACTTAACATTCAACTACATTGAAAACTGATTTTATAGGTTAAACACAGAATCACCACATGATCCAGCAATCCCACCTCTAGGTATATATATACACAATGAGACAAAAGTAGGTTTACAGTTGTTGGTATGGAAAATAATCAATAACAACACAAGAATAAACTGTTGTTTCACATACAACTATAAACGTACTTTTGCCAACCCTCTATATCCAATGGAAATGAAAACACATGTTCATACAACTTTTACACAAATGTTCATAGCAGCATTATACATAATAGTTAAAAAAGCAGAAACAACTTGAATATCAATCAACTGATGAATGGATAGATGTGGTATAGCCATACAATGTAATATTTTTTGGCAACAGAAAGAAATGAAGTACGGATACATGTTACAACTTGTATAACCCTTGAAAACCTTACACTAAGTAGAATAACCCAGTCTAAAAAACCACACCATATGCTTCTATTTATATGAAAGCTCCAGACTAGGCATTCTGACAGTAGATTAGTGTTTGCCTAGTGCTGGGGGTTGGCTGGAGTGACTGATAATGGGTCCATGTTTTTTTTTTTGGGGGGGGGAGTGATGAAAATATTCTAAAATTGACTGTGGTATATTGGATGCACAATTCTGTAGATGTACTACAAACCACTGAACTGTACACTTTAAATGGCTGAACTGTATGATATGTGACTATCTCACTAAAGCTGTTACTTAAAAATCAACTGTGTGCTGCAAGTTGAGAAGGGAACTAAAACTATTGAAAAACAAACAGCATTATTACTAACAGTTCACCCAGCAAATCAAGAATAGCAAAAATTCCTTATTTACTCTGTAACAAAAGTTTTACTGTCATTAAAATGATTATATATTTAATCAGATCTGGCCAATTTTCTAAGACCTCATACTTCTGAACTATGCTTGCCCTCTGATAAAAATTTACAAACATATTTCTTAAAAGGTTCTCCAAAGAGCTCACAGAGATATTATGACCCATGAAAAGGAGGTGCACTATCTGAAATCAGGAAAACTGTGAATACGACTATATTTAATATACTAGAAAAACTTCCTCATCTGAGAAAAGTTATATGGGATGATAAAGATTTAATACCGTTACCTTGTTACATTATTAAATTTCAAAAATGGGTTTCTTAATTGTAAAGATACAAAAGGAACAAATATATTTTAAAACTAAATTACTACAAACAATACAAACTCTATAAAGACACTAACATCAAAATAAAGTTAAATGTATGACATATGAAAAAAAAAATCCCTAACTAGTCATACAAATATTTGGAATATATATGTATCTATTACCTTACTCTCTGTTGCAACTTGAAAGGGAAGAAGTGTTTAAGAAATTAAGATCTTGTGTTGTTCATAATAAAATGGCAATGTAGCTCACTCTCATTTTTTCCAGTTTCAAGGATACAAGCATCCTTAAGTCCTTAATCAATGTAATTTGTACATCAAAATATAAGAATTAGATAAATAAGAGCTACTTCAAGCATTCTACTGACCATTACTTTCCCTTGATGGTTAAAATCAAGTAATACAAAAATTTACGTGACTTACATTGTTGTTGCGGGTTTCTACAGCAGGGAACTTTCTGACTATGAATTTCACAGCAGATTCCAGATTTTTGTCAATAAGGTAGGATGGTTTTGCCTTGGGGTCTCCACAAGCCTATAAAACAACAGTAATAAAAAAAGTGAAATGCATCCCTCTAAAACCAAGGAACAATAGCAAATCTGTAATCAGAATTCAGAGATATTTATTGTTTTTGGTGAGCAGGTGATAAAATGAATAGGCAAAGTGCAGGGATTATCACAGCTGAAATATGCAATGGGAGACAGTACAGAGATGTTCTTCTACTGAAAAAAAAATGCATGGAAAGTTTTAAAGCAGTTAGCGCAGAACAGCAGTGAAGGAAAAAGCTCAAACCTAAAAAAAAAAAAAGAAAAAAGAAAAGAAAGAAAGGAAAGAAAAAAAGTTCTTGATTTGAGGTAGGATTGTATTCATCTGAAGCTAATAAAATATTACAAAATTAAATATTCAGTAAAATACTGGAAATGTTTCTTTCTAAGTGTTATACAATAAAAGCTTATGTTTAAATGTCTTTTACAAAATGTTTTCCTTGTTCACTATAAACATTTTAATACAAGAGCCCTAGTTCAAAAGAACTGGAAGCTGCTAAAATTGTTTTTACAGTACTAAAGTGTGTTGCCTATTCCTCTAAACATCTGAGTTCCAGCAGTGTTTTCCATCATACCAGCAGCACTTCAAACAATAAATCTACATCTGTTCTATATATATATATATATTTATCCTACACACAAAACAAATGGAAATGTTTACATTTTGACCACATCAGCAGTACAGCATTCTCTATAGTAAACTGTAAAATATTACATAAATGTAAAGTATTACTATTAGAAAGAACTTTTTATCTGAACTATTAGCAATACAGAACATAATCTTCAATATTGTTCACTGTTTCATTATGTGACATTTAATTAATTGCTTGCTAGCCAGACATTATTTCTTACGGAATTACTAACATTATTACATTCCTATTTAACTTCCTGCATTTTAAAAAGGATGTGTCCTGTGAGAATTTATATCCCTCTACTACATATGAGAAAATACAGCATTACAACTTAATGTTTTTTCATTGTTTACTATAGCTATGTTGTGGATTGCAGAAAGAGAAGTTATGAAACATGAAACTGATCTGAAAGCGGGCAAGCGGGCAGAGGGAAGGTGAAAAGCTTTGCAAACCTTCCAAACTTGTCCTTGCTGGGGAAGCATTGTAATAAAAAGAGAGAAAATTACGTGTAAACAATGATGGTCAAGCTATAACATACGTTTCAGCAGAGAACTTATGCACTGCATACTATGAATACCAGAACAAGATTAGAACTATATGGTGCTACAATTTTAAAGGTATTCTAAGTAGCAAGTTGTAGTATACAATAAAGTCACAGAGTTTATACTACTCATATATATTTAAATACTGCATCAGGGTACAACCATGTCAGTTTCTTGGTGCTCTTTCTGATTCAACGTAAAATATTTTTGGAAGGAAAAATAACGACTACATGCAACTATAAAAACAGGAGCAAAACTGTGAAATTTTACATACCTTAAAAAGAAACGGTAGCCACGAATCAGAATAAATCATTATTGGGTGACTTGCATTTCAACTCAAATTGAAACTATTTCTCAAATATCACCTAACTCCTTTCCAAGCCAAATTATAAAAATCAAAGCAAACATTCCCATATTTTCCAAATGGAAATAGGAATGCAGTGAGAATTCTGTTAATTTTCACACATAATAAGATACAACAAAATTAACTTTAAGAAATTTAGAACTTCATAATCTTTAACCAAATTGACACAAAGCTGCTATGTAAATTCCATTTCAACATCATAAATATTAAAATATATCTGACTTCTCAGAATAGACTCTCATTGTTTAATGTATTATTTCTTACAAATTAATCTTTCAATTAATCCACTTCCAAAAATATTACACTATAAAATAACAATAACTAAGAACTACATAAGTGAGAGAATTTGTCCCAATAAATATAGCTACAGATTAGCATTTCCTTACATCAGTGATACAATGAAAATCAAATTTCATAAACAAGACTGAGGTAGTGCAAAATCCTAAAATGATTTCAAATTATGTTCAGTTTTTTAATGACATATATCTTTCACATTCTAATTACTTAAAAAATCAGCTATCCATTCTAAGAATATTAGTGATTACTAAATAGTAAAAATGATAACCTACCATCCTCACTTCCCATGATCATAAATTTTACTGTGTAAGAATTTAATCAACTAAAGAAGGGAAACTCAATTTTTATACTGACTGTACATTGAAATGACATATTGGGTTAAAAAAAACTTAAGTAACTAAAAATATATATTGAGCAGCTCTTCCTTCTTACACTGAAAACAAAAGGAATGCAGTTTCATTTCATTGGAAAAAATAAATGGTTGTATAATCTTCTTTCCTTGGAATTGATTTACCTTTTCCCCACACTGCTCAGTAAATTTTATTTTTTCTGAAGCCAACCCACTTGATTTACTTACTTAATGCCAATAGAGACACGTGTGGGGGGATACTGAGACAAAAAAGAAAAAAATAAACAATGACTTGACAAAAGCTAACATCTATATAAATACACCCTGGCAAAGAGCCATACTTACTAATTCACTTAAGAAGGATTTCCTACTATATTAAAGCAGGAGAGCAAAATTACAACTAACTAGATGTCTCAGTTTATAACAATTACTCCTCTTCTCCACCCTAACTCATTTTTCATTTTGAAAAATTGAGAAATTTCATTTTGAAGGTAAAGTAACCATAGACAACCTATACTTAAGAACATAGCATGCAGGTGGTACAACTGAAAGCCTATCTCATCCTACTACAGCTACAATATTATACAAAATTAATCTTTCACTCTTAAAAGCATCACCTTTTGAAGTACCACATTTAAGAAAATGATATGTACTACTATATCTAGTTACCAATACATTTTAGACTAATACAGTATGTTTCAGACAGGTTTACCAAGAAGATTAAATCAAAAGATTTGACAAATTACCAATTCAATTAAATAAAATTTGAGTACTTCTATCCTCCCAACACCACCCTCCCAAAAAAGAAGGACTACACGGCAAGATTACATGTCAATTCCTGAATCTTACAGCCCTACTTTCCCGTACAAATAAGGGAACTATATCTAAACCACAGTATTTAAAAAGAAGTCACCACCCCAAAAACTTACTTATGTTTCACTTTATCTTGACTCAGAATGCTTTCACAATGCATAAAATAGTATAATATAAAATTCTAGTATCAAAAGCAAATTTAAATATTTATAAATTTAAATTTCCAGTTTTCAGAATAGATATTTTATCTTTTATGAGTATTCTAATTACATCTGAATTCAATAAACTTAGGACTATTTAATGTGACAGATAAAATTATACTGTTAAAGGAAATACTTACATATAATAATTACGAACTTTATCTGAGTCCAGTAGATCACAACCCATTATGACCTTAGGCAAGTTGCTTAACACCGGAGCCTCAGTTGTCTAATCCATAAATTGAAGACACTACTACTACTACTACAACTACAACTACAACAACATACTTATCAAGTCGATTCAGCATTTTAAAGGATAAAATTCATATAAAATGCTTATTCCAGTGCCTGGCACATAAGTACTTAATAAATAAGCTCTAAATAATTATCTTCTATTTTTAAAACAAAACTTTTCAAAACACATGGATATTTAGAGTGAGTTCCCAGTTATCAAAATAAGATTTCCATTTAACCAATTCCAGGCTAGTATTGATTGTCAATTCAGTTATCTCCAAGTTCATTTTTTCACAAAACATAAATACAATGTTATCACCAAAAATAAAGAACAAAGATGTTACAGAAAACCCCATAATATTTTATTCAGGCCACAAAAAGTCTTTGACTAAAAACCTCAACACCAGACTTTATCTGAATTATGTCACGAAAGGGGTATAAAATACAAAATGTGACCAATTTATGCTAGGAAAAGGAATTTAATTTTACTCAATAAATAAGAAATATAGTTTTTAAAGAAGGCTTTGCAAAATTGAAGGCATACAGAGACCAAGATTTCCCCTGAGTCTTCAACAAACTGAAATTAATGCCTAGAGGAATAATGGGAATCATCTAAAATCATGGACTATAAAAACAACTTACCTATCATTATTTTATAATTTTAAAAAGAATGAAAGTTTCATAGTGTGAAACTTTTCAATAAATATTGGAAAATCTATCACGGCAAAACAAGCCTCAAATTCTCAAATTTCTGCTTAAGTTTCCAATTATTTTCTTATGTGTACCACCTATATTTTGGCCAACCAACCTGCTTTGAATTCTCCCTTGAGCTTCGGTAGGTGAAAGGAGAAAAAAAAAAAAAGAGAAAGAAAAAAAAGTAGTAATCCACTGCTAGAGTTTGGATTAAGAGGCTTGAGAGAAAAGTATAATGAAATTATGGGAAATGCTTTAAAATTAATGTAATTCATCAACAACTACCTCTTAATTAGAGCCAATCATTGTAAATTTAAAGACATACAAATTAGAGTTTTTTTATTAAGCATTAAGTTCTGAAACAATCATGAACCTAAGAATATTTCAACCCACTTTATATTTCAAAATTCATTATTAAAAATTTTAGTGATTCAAATGAGATATTAATTACTATTCAATTCACAAGATATCTCTGTCACTGTTGTCCTTAAACAGTTTTCAGCTTCCAATATACAGAAACATCTCAGTTTATTAAAAAAAAAAGTTACAGTTTTTTAAAACTGTTATATCAGGTCATATTTTTACTGTTCTAAAAAAGTTGCTCTTTAAATGACTATTTAAGAATACACTTCTGAAATATAGTTATTTTATAGTTATTTTGTACTAGCAATAACTTGATAAACTGTAATTTCAGGTAGTTAAAAGGAATAGTTAAGAAACATTTCCTAAAAATGGTCTTGAGCTAGATTTAATAGAAAGTGTCACTGTTTCAAGCCCCAGAAATAGAGTAACATTAGCAACTAATAATACTGCCAGCTAATAATATTTACTCACTTCTTAACTCTTATGCCACACACTATACTTGCACTTTATATGAATTTACTCATTTAATTCTCAACTTTACAAAGTTAAAAAGTATTCCACATGTGGAATATGTATTTAAGACTGCAAGAATTAGAATCAATAAGAATAGCATAGCTTTGAGAACATATATATACATATAAATAAAAATACATATATATAATAGGAGCCTACCAGAAGCTGAGAGCAAATAAGTACTATGTAGATGGTTTAGCTAGTAAAAGCCTATGTGCAAGCCATCATTCCAGAAAATTAGCTACACCCCGGAAAACAAAATTAAATCACCAGTGAACAATTATCAGAAAAAAGAAATCAGAGGTTCTAATAACTTACATTTTATTTATCTTAATGGTTCATAACATCAGAACCACTTCAGGGGCTTTTTCTTATTATTCAGTGTGTTGGGTCAATATCTAGATGTGTGTATTTTTTAAAATCTTCCATAATTATTATATATTTTATATACCTAAGAACCACAGGTCTCTTCAATTTACAAATAAAGAAATTGTAACCCAGAAAGGCTAAATAACTTATCCAAAGTTAAAAAAAAAATGTCAAAGCTTTATCTAGAATCTACCAGCTCTCTCAATCGACATAAACTGCAAGTATGGAATATGATAATAAAGATTAGAGGCTTAATGCCTGCAAAGAGGACATTAGACATTACTAAGATATTTTATAACCTTGTGTATTTTGTTTCCTTTTTTAATCCTTATGGGAAGATATATTTCTTGATTTTAAAGAGGGGGACAAGGGGAAAGGATGAGGAAGAGGGGGAGGGCGTGAGTGGGGAAGAGGGAAGAGGGAGTTTGCCTCCCATACTTGGGTTGCCCAAACCCATATCCCAGGTATGGGCTCTGATGGGGAATCAAACCTGCAACCTTTAGGTGTACAGGTCAAAGCTCCAACCAACTGAGCCACTAGGTCAGGGTCTATTTTGTATCTTGATATAGTCTACTGAATAAAAGTTCTGGAATCTTAAATGACTGGATACTCCTTGTCATTGCCTGGATGAAGTTTGTACTCATACTTGAAAGTCAACACAAATATAATGATCTTTTTCCTCCCATCTCCCACAGACTGGAATTTTGGACTCCCTTCTCAAGACTCCCACAAC